TTTTTTTGGTTTTTCGAGACAGGGTTTCTTTGTGTAGCTTTGAGCCTTTCCTGGAACTTGCTTTATAGACCAGGCTGGCCGGTCTCAAACTCACAGAGGTCTGCCTGTCTCTGCCTCCGGAGTGCTTGCTAGCTAGCTCTATCATCTTAAATTAACCCATTTCTATTAATCTATGTATTTCCACATGGCCATGGGTTACCAGTCTGCTGGCATGTTCCTCCTTGGGCTGTGCCCTGCGTCTCTCCTGCCTCTGCCTTTCTTCTTCCTGTCTCTCTCTTGGATTTCCTGCCTGGCTATAACCTGACTTGCCACAGGCCAGAGCAGCTTCTTTATTAACCAATCATAGCAATACATACTCACAGCATACAAAAAGACATCCCACAGTACATAGCTTTTCGAATGAATTATGAGCATACCTGAAGTATCATAATGTAAGACTGACATCGCCCACTCTTTCATATTTTCAATGAGAAAAATCCGAGATGGACCTGTATAGCTGCCTATACATAACAAGCCAAAGGATCGGTCACTAGATATTTGGTTTTGAAAATAATGTTGCAATGTGTGAAGGTTTTTGCTGTGTGTCTGATACAAACAGCTTGAGAGTAAAGACAGGAGGAACCCCAAGGATCAGCCTGTCCAGAGAGTAAACCTCAAGTCAGCCAGAGCTACAGGAAATGACTCCATCTCACTTAAACTAGTACTGATACAAATAAAACAATTATATCTGCAAGATGGAATCGAGACCTGAAATCCCTAAGTCAAGTGTGACTGTGAAAGTAATCAGGGCACAATTTCTAACTTGTTGTTAGTTTGTTTCTTCCCAAAGTATGTTTTTTTGTATTTGTATTTATTTATTTATTGGAGGTTCAAATATCTTTAATTGCAGACGATGATAGTTATACATAAATGACCCAAAACATCCTGCCAGAAAACATAAGCGACCCCCCAAAACTCCTACAGGTGATAAACTCTTTCAGCAAAGTGGCTGGATACAAACTTAACTCACAAAATCAGTAATCCCTTTAAATACAAATGACTAACAGACTGAGAAATAAATTAGAGGAAAAAAAACACCATTAGAAATAGCCTCAAATACCATAAAATATCTTTTTTAAAAAATTAATCACATAATATTTTATTGATTCCTTGAGAATTTCATGTCATGTGCCCCAATCCTGCTCACCTCCCAATCCTTCCATAGCTGCCCCTCTCCCCCGCAGCATCTCCCCAGAAGGAAACCCCCCAAATTAATTAAAAACAAAAACAAACAAAAACTCACTCTTCCATCCTTCCCACCTCTCCAACACCTCTTCATTCATCATAGTGACAGTGGGAGCTTCAGTGTGTCACGCAGTGTACACTTTTGTCCAATCAGCCCCACACAAAAGTGCTCATTCCAGTGAGTCATTGGTCCTTCAATACCTCTGGCCTCTGCCACACCATCATCACTGGACCCTCACTGAAACTCTTCTACATATCCTGCTGTTGCCCCATGTCTGGAGATCCTGTGGCTATTGTTCTACAGTAGCAGTCCCTTCAAGTTCTCCAGCATGTCATAGATGGGGTAGATGTTAGGGTGGGCCAACTCAAGGCCCAGGTTGTGGGTCCTGGATGGTAGCTGAGCAGTCAGTCCGGGCCACTGGGACTGGTCCCTCAGGTGAGGGGCATAGCCAGCTCTCCTAGGCCCATGCCATTGGTGCCAGCTCTCCCTAGTGCAGTGGTGGGCAGCAGCTCTCCGATAAAAGGTGGGACCAGCTCTCCTGCTGCTGTGTTCAGCAAAGGGCAAGGTCAGCTATCCCATGGTCACTGCAACAGTGTGGCCTTCAGACACCAATTAGGCCCCAGGTGGTGGCCCAGACTCCTGGCATCAGTGTGGCCTTCAATTGTAACAGGAGCCATTGACATCAACATAGACCTTAGCTTCTGTAGGCCCACAGAACCAGACATGGCCCTCAGTTGTAGCTAGAGCCCAGATGTCACCGTGGCACTTTGTGGCAGCACAAGCCATGCAGATCTGTAAAGCACAAACTGCAAGATGACCCTCAGACACCAACATGGCCTCAAGTGGCAGCTGAGACCTGGGCATCCTTGTGGCCTTGGGTGGCAACAGGGGTCATGGATGTCAACACAGACCTCAACTACTGTAAGACCATGGACCTAGACATGGCCCTTAGCAGCAGCCTGGGCCTGGATATTACTCTGGCCCTGGGTGGCAAGCGGGCCACCCACACCAGCCTCTTCCTAAACACCTTTGTTTCTTCAGTTCTGCCTCTTCCTACAGCACATGAACAGTTCTGCTTCCCTTTCTTTCCCATTTCTCCAGCATATATTTGCTCATCATAATGGCTACTACCTGCACAATACCAGGTAGACCTGTGGATGTCTTCAGCCATCCAGGACTGTGAGGACCCAGGCTTGCTGTGGAAGTCCTCTGTACTCTGTGAAGATGTGTTGCTCACATTGTTAATAAAAAGCTGATTGGCTGATGGCTAGGCAGGATTTCTAGGGCAGAGAGAATACTGGGGAGAAGAAGGGCAGACTCAGAGGAGGCACCATGAGACCCAGAGCAAGCAGGATGAGAAATACATAGATGAAGTATATGAGCCTTGAGGCAGCACAGAGATTAATAGAAATGGAATTATTTAAGTTATAAGAGCTAGGTTTAAAAAAACAAGCCTGAGCTATTGGCCAAGCATTTATAATTAAGTCTCTGTTTGGTTATTTGGGAATGTTGCCAGTGTTTGGGTCCACATATATCCACATAAAACCTAAAAAAAAAAAAAATAACTTTTTAAAAAAGCTTCCAAATAAACAAAAATAGAGCCAACCACAATTTTCTAGTCCTACAGTCTTTTGTGCAGGCCATGGTTCAGGGAGGAATCTTCCAGCCACTGCCTGTATCCTTGAGCTGTCAGCATGAGCCCTGCCAGAATGCTGTGAGCTAAGCCACATGGCAGGTTTAAGGTTTTGTTCATGCAAACAAAAAATATAGATATGCAATGAAGACAGATACAGAAAAAAGAAACCTTTAAACAGGTTACAGTGTGTTTAAAAATGTACATGGGCTTGGTAAAGAAAAGAGAAAGGATATATACAGTCATAAAAAAAAGAATAGTTTAAAAATAATCAAGTCATTACTACAGGTGTAAAGTAATATTAAAAAAATAAACCATTTAGAGATAGAAAATATACAGGGAGACCAGAACCTGTGTGTCTTTAAATTTTCTGATTGCTGATGAATAAAGCCATAGCTTATAAGAGACATTGGATTGTGAAAGCTTCTAGATTAAACTAACCTATATATTTTTAAAATGTCTTGACTTCAAAATGGAAGTCAAAAGATGTGTTGCTTTGGGCAAGAGGTTATGCTTTTGTTCCCCCCAGGAAATGAAAGGCTATGGATTTGTTCTGGGTTAAAGAAGTTCAAGTTTGATCCAGGAAGAACCCCTGAAAATCATGGCTACAGACATAAAGAAATAAATCTAGAAAAACTACAAGACACATGATATATATTTTACCTGCTCAAACATAAAACAAAACATTATCTTTGACTGACTTGTGTATAACACACAGTCTATTTTTGTATTAATGCAGATAAGTATGTTATCTTTAAAAGTTTATGTATTTTCAGAACAAGGGAACAAGACATCCTTGAAAACAAATGGTCCAGGTGGTCCAGGATCTCAGAATACCTCTGTTGCAGTTTCCTCAGAAATCTGCATCCAGAACAATTTCAAGGCTGCTGACTGAGATGGTCCAGCCTCACAGACTACTCCAGGCAAGACTTAACCATTATCTTGACTTTCTCAAGGTTCCCCCAAAGATTCCAGTGCCCCCAGACAGCAGGAAGCAGTTTAGATAGAATAATGCCCACATTCCGAAAAGATGAGATATAGATGTTTGTCATCAATTGGGGCAGTTGGTTACAAATTGTTATTGGTCATGTAAAAAAAAAAAAAAAGGAAACCAAACAAAAGAGTTGGATTCAAGGATTCAAGGATCTCTTTCTGAAGGAAAAAGGGAGGATATAATATACAAATGATGACATAAAAAGGATAGATAACTGAATCTACTTTAATCCAAAAAGCAACTACTAGTCTTAAATACCTTAGTATAGATTTTTATATATTGATTCAAATTTAAGGTTATTTTTGTGAGATTATGTTGTACATACATTTCTACTCTTATTTAAGGTATTGTACCTATACAACTCATTAACCAATGTAATGCACATTTCTAGTCCTTGAAAGTTATTATTACAAACTATTTAGGATAAGAAAGAAATGTAGGTTGGTAGTTAGTCACCAATTACAATCAAACTTGTAGTTATGGTAGGTATATTTTCAAGGTCAAAGAGAGATATATTTTAGATAGACAGGTGGTCTTCAAACACTGCAGAGATCTACAGATTATGGCATTTAAGATGTTTTAATAATTTAAGGCTTTTTATGATAATGTGACATGTCTACTCCTGGCAGTACCAATCTACATCAGAGAAGATGATGGGCATTGAAGAAACTCTATATGGAGTTTGCTTTCTTTGAGACAGAAGTTAGTGACTGGACAAGAAACTGCTCCTGCCTCAACTGCTGACAGTATGCTGTCCAAATTTGTCAAGTAGGGCCCAAAAGAAAGGATTGCCAAACTTTGTCAAGAAAAGGTAGAACAGTCCTTCAAAATTCCTGCTTCACAGAAAAATCTGTCAGATAATCTAGGTCTGTAGGCCAAAGATAAATGCCCCAACATTACAGAGGAACCTTGGGTGTTTGTCCAGGAGGCCAGCTGTTTCTGTCTTTTTTTAGTTTTGGAAGTTGTTGCTCTGCACTCCCTGTTTATTCAGGTAATATTATATCCTTCTCAGGTCTCTAACGGAGTTGAAGACTGGATAGTTATATAGTCTTCCTTGTTACCAGATTCAGAAAAGAACTCACAAAAGAGGAATAAAGTGTATAAGGTTGGGAGACATAAAAGGATAGTTTTGGGTTGGTAGCACATGTTAGGTTAGAAAGTGAATTAAGTACAACACTTTGGACTCACCAAGATAGAGTAGAAAACAGAATATTTTCCCTGAATTTGCCCAATACAAATGGACTGGATTTTGTGAGTGTAATTCTTACCTGATATTTATTCTTAGTGTAGATAATTTTATTATGTTAAAGTTGAAAACCTTCCTTTTTAATTAAAAAAAAAATCAGGAAATTCTATGGAGTAATCCTTTTGTATACTGTGAAGATGAGTTGCTCTCATGGTTAGTAAAAAGCTGATTGACTGATGGCTAGGCAGGATTTTCAGTGCAGAGAGCATGCTGGGGAGGAAAAGGGCAGATTCAGAGGAAGTGCCATGAGATGCAGAGCAAGCAGGATGAGAAATACATAGATGACGTAAATGAGCCTTGGGGCAGCACATAGATTAATAGAAATGGGTTGATTTGAATTATAAGAGCTAGGTAAAAACAAACCTGAGATATTGGTTGACCATTTATAATTAATATTAACTCTGTGTGGTTCTTTGGGGAGTGGCTGATGGGATAGAGCTGATTTGTAGTCTAGTTGGGGAACTCTGCCTACACAGGCTGGCCTATGGGTGTCTTTCACCCACCTGGGCCATGTGGCACAAAGCAGGCCTGTGGATATCTTCAGTCAGCCAGGACTGTAGGACCAGGCTGACCTGTAGATCTGTTTTTTCAAACCTAAATGCATTTATTTTCATTAAAATCATTAACAGATTAATTGTATCATTCAGTGGGAGTCACTGTGATATTTACACATTTTCTCTGTCATGTATTAATGGTGTGCTTCCATATCTCTTTCTACTACCAGAAGTGGTGATCATGAATGATCCTTTATAGACACAGGAAGGCAAGATGGAGAAAGAGACAGTTGGGGCTTTGGACTTTCCTCAGTCTCATTATTAGCTAAGGACAATCAACATTTGTTGAGTATGGATCCACCCTTATGTGCTGAGATACTCTTAGTAGATATGGTACTATGTGCAGCTAAACAAAACTATCAAGTTTTCGGTTTTGTATGCTTGTGGGGCATACATGGGCTGCAAAGAGGGTGCTGAGAGAAATTCAGATAAGTAGAGCTTAAGCTTTAAGCTGTTTGTGTAGAGAGTGGATACAAATGGTACTAGAGGAAGTTAGTTTAAGCTGTTTGTGCAGAGAATAGATACAAAGGATGGCTGAGAGGAAGTTAGCCTGGGTTGTTTGTATGGAGATTAAAGCCAGTGAAAAGGGAAGTTAGCTCAAGGTATTTATGCTAAGATAAGATACTAAAAACAGGAGATGGCATCAGGACATAAACAACTTGTAAATAGGGTGCCCTTTAAAATGATTGGTTGGTTCCTTCACCCCCTCCTAGGGTTCTGAGGTTTTCTGGTGTAGAAGAGACTTACTGCCTATCAGTAAATGAGTTCTTGCTTGACTTGACTCCCCAGTACATCTGATTGTCTCCAGGTAAGAGGGAGGCTGGGGAATGGGCTAGCTGTGTGCACTTACCTTTCCTCGGTTCCAGGCCACCTCTTCACAGGTGACCTAAGTTCCCAGTGGGGCAGGTCCCCAAATATGCTGAGATGATCAAAGGACATTTATCAATGTCTGATCTCTCTTACTGAGTATGACAATATTTAGTTGTCAAATGTCCATCTCTCTGAATAAGTATGAAGGGGCTGATAACTGCATATCCAAGAGTTAGAAACTCTGGAACATACAGTATTTTGGAATAATTTTCTAAGAAGAAAGTAAAAATTAAAGAAATAAAACAATCTGCCCAATAGAAGGAAAGAAAACAGAGCATCAGAAGGAGGACACTCTGGGCAGCTCTCAGCTCAGGGGGAGTTCTGTAGAGAAGCCTGGCCTTCTGAAGGTAGAGGACCTGCTGGTGGTGCTTGTGGAGAAGAGATACCATGTAGCCACTGGCCCCTCCCATGGCTCCCTGAAACACTGCATCTCTCAGGACCATGAGG